GGGCGGGAGGGTTGAGACCACTTTGCTGAGAGGGAGGTTGGCAATCTGGGAGACGGGCACACCAGGGGTGACAGAAAGCTGCGTGGGCTGGGACAGGACCTGGGAGGTGATGGCAGCTGGTCCGGAGGTGGCCCTGGTCAGCCTGGGACGTTTTAAAGGCGTGGGGACGGAGACGGGCGTGAGGGTCATCAGGACGTTGTTGAGATGCTGCGATTTGTGCTTCAGCTCCTTCGCTCGCTTGCGGTGCTCGTCACATTGCTGCTCCAGAGCTGGAGAGAGAAGAAGGTTGGCTCAGCCTGGACCTGGGATAAGCTTCCCAGGGACTGTGGCAATGCCTGGAGCAGCAGCAGCCAAGTCCCACCACAGCTGGTTTAACAGGCACCAGCTTCCACAGAATCCCAGCCTCGTCTCAATTGGAAAAGCCCTTTAAGCTCATCGAGTCCCATCATGAACCCAACACTGACCAGTCCCCGACTAACCCATGTCCCTCAGCACTGTGTCTACATGACTCTTCAATCCCTCCAGGGATGGGGACTCCTCCACTGCTCTGGGCAACCCCTTCCAATGCCTCAGAACCCTTGCAGCAAAGAAATTCTTCCTCACATCCAATCTCAACTGCCCTGGCCACAACTGGAGCCCATTTCCTCTTGTCCTGTCCCTTGGTCCTTGGTTGGACAGACCCACCCCCACCTCTCTCCACCCCCCTTTCAGGTACTTGTAGCCATACCTGCCAAATCCCGCGTGTACTGCTCCCTGGAGCGATCCATCTGACACTTGTGGCTGGCCAGGACCTTCTTGACCAGATCCAGCATCCCAAAGTTCTGGACTACGTTGTTGAGTAAAACAGCATCTTAAAAACAAGACACAGATCTTTGAGGAAAGCAAAATTCTCTATGATGTGACCTATTTATTTATGGCTGGTAAAAAAGCAATACGACAGCAAACACATTCAGCTGAGACGGCCAAAATCTGTGCGAGGGCAACACAAAAGGCAGGGGAAGAGAAGGACAGGAGAAGTCATGAGAAAGTGCAAGAGGTCACGAGCACATAAACAGTCCTCTCTTGCTTAGCAGGGGGGATAAGAGATCTGCTGGCACAGTAGCTGGTTGCTGCATCATCATCTGATGGCCTAAATTCCACCTCAGTTCCTAAGCCAAGTGTTTGTCCAGACCCAGAGCCAGCAGATAGGAATCCCCAGGCACAGGGAATTGGAGAACTGAGGCCACCTGAAGTGTCCCCGAGTGCAGCCAAGAGCCTGCCCAGGGAGCAGCCAGCAGTGAGATTTACTTATGATGAATTATCTCCTTATAGTGCCATCCAGACATCCCTGAGGGGAAAAAAATATCCACAAGCCCCTCTCCCTCGATGCCTCTGAGCGCCCGTGCCCAGGTCCTCACCACCGAGCTGCAGCGGGGGATCCTGCGCTCGCTGCTGCAAACCCTTCATGGTCTCCACCAGCTCCTGGTGGAACTCGTGGATTACTTCTGCCAGGAGACCCGTGTCCTTCAGTCCTCGCCAGAAAGCAAAGGTGTCATCTGGAGAAAGAGAAAGCAAAGGAGAACTTCAAAATCCTTGGAGGGTGTTTTAATGGTGATCTACTCTGAGTTCCCTTTCTGGCACCTACAAGGGTGAAGTCCTGCTGGGCTGTGGGTACAACAGGGTGCTGGGACAAAGCCCAGCAGATCCTGGACCTGAAAGAGGGGCAGCTGGAAAAGGACATGCTTTCCCATTCCTCTGTCACACACAAACCAGACTCTGATGCTACAGAAAAGCCGGTTGCTCAGGACACACCAGAGAAGTGAAAATGATTTTAGGACCCCTCTGATTGCTATTTTTTGTTCCCCTAGAGCCACACCAGCACTGGGCCTGCGCTCTGACAACTCAGTGCTCAGAAACCACTCCAACCCCAGGCCACGCTGCAGTCAGACCACACACAGGCAGGATGCACCGCGGCCCCACGCGCCGGTAAGCAGCAAACAAATAATCCCAGAGGAGGATCAAGCAGGGCTGCTCTTAAAAGAAGGGTCCTGGCTTCCCAACCCT